AAAAAAAAAAAAAAAAAAAAAAAAAAAAAAAAAAAAAAAAAAAAAAAAAAAAAAAAAAAGAAGTGTAAGGCAGGGCCTATCGTGCCACCATCTACTTGTCCTGGCACAGAAGTCTGTACACCATCTGTCCAGCACTGTGTCATGTATCTACACTCTGAAACTGCAACCACAACAATAAAAAAGCAGCTACTACCAGAGTTAAAGTTATGTGTAAGTTGTAGGTGCGTGCTGGTACAGAGAGATTAAAAGTGTTTGAGATACAACGACTGCAATGCAGATGGCAAATGTTCAGTCTTTTTCTGAAAGCCTATTCTAAGCTCCAGCTTTAAACCTAAGCAAAGACATTATCCAAGATACATTTTCATGAACAAGTGAATACAAATGAAACATTCTGTCATTTCCCCTGCAAAACTGCTCTCTGTGTGATGCACAGTCATTCCAAAGATAAAACTCCCATTCAATTTAGAGTTTTCACTCTGTAAAAATGTATTTTTCTCGGCTAAAACAATTCACAAGCTTTGCAAGTGAAAATTAATGTGCATGATTCTAAAGAGTAAGCTAGACACAGTTAATTTAACTTAAAAAAAAAAATTGAAAATAGCACCAAATTTACCAATCGCTGGAAATCCAGAGAATAATATATATATATACATATATATATAGTGTTAATTAGATAACATATGCCCTCAGTTTTAACATAATCCCCTTTTGTCACCATCTACTGCAATGCTGTCAAACAGACATCATCTGCATTATCAGCAGGGAAAATGCTATTTGCAAGTTTTCACAGCCCATTAATGGACCTGCTCTGCTCTTGACCTTGACACTTCAGACCATCCTAAACTTGGTTCGTGTCAGTTCAGGATAACACCTGAAATGGCATTCAGTTAAACAAAACCCCACCTGGGTTATCTTCCAAGTGCATTAAGATGTATCAGATCTTCCCTCTCTGTTTTCCACAGGTGAGCACCTCCTGGAAAACAAGGCTGCCTGAAGAAAGGGCTAATTAAGAGCCCAAACTGCCCACGCAGCTCTTTCAAAGGAGCTCAGGTCCCTCAGGAGTCTTTGCACAAGGGAACTGAGCTGTTCTCTGCACCTTCTCAAGGCTGACAAGGCTACAGTGGAGAGAGACGAGCCTGCACTACCTTGTTGGGTGGCCATAACAATTTTAGCAGTTTGCCATTGTCTGATCAGAAGGCAGTTGGTGCCTACAGAGCCTGGACAGTCCGTGGCACTGTCTCTCTCTGCAGTGTCCCCCTGTCAGCACACACCAAGGAACAGCTGGAAACCAGGTGAAGTAACTGCAGTGGGGCAGATTCACTGGGAGGTCCCAGCAGGACAACTTCTAACAATGCAAGGTGCACCATGAAACACCTGGAAGCTGCACTAGCACAGCCCAGCCCTCTGCTCGCTGTACATGACACAGCAGAGACATTTACCTTCAAGCACAGCATGTGCTATTCTGTTACCTGGAGGCACCTGTCATGTCTGGCAAATACTACAGCATAAATTTTAAACAAAAAGGTGTCAAGGGTACAAAGGGGTTCAGCGCAAACCCTTCAGCTCTTTCTGCCTTTCGTTCCCTTGCAAGGCTGGGCCAGGGAGACGTTGGCAAACCAGAAAGCCAAGAGAAAGGAAGAGAGGAGTTTAATGTATTGCTTACAGGGCATTTTGTGAACTGATAGGAAAATGCCCTCTCCCCCCAAACATTAGTTGTTATTTTTACCTGGTAACATACCTATTAATATCCTGTCCCTGACTTAGGCTCTCTGTCCTTTAGATTTTTTTAAGACCATAATCAATACTTGGCAGCATTTTAGAATAAGACATGCAGTTTACAAACTAATTTTTTTTAATCATCTCTGCAATGATTTCTGAACTCCTTTTTAAAGCATGTCTTATTTATTGCATTTCAAAGCTGGGTTCTTCTATACAGAGTGCATGTGCAAATGAAAAGCAAGACCAGCAACAAACTCCACAAGCCTATTTCTGAGCTATAGCAAACAAATGCAAGAATTGAATTGATAGAGTAACTCAGTATTTTCATCCACTTACTTGATTCTCAGCTGGGAGGAAGGAAAAGATTTCCAAGTGCCACAAGTGCCTGAGCTTGATGTGGAGGACTGTTTTGTGCTGTGCAAGTTTGAATGTTATGTTAGCTGTCATTAACAGTGTGAATTTTTGCCCCCAAGAATTAGCATGCAAGGGAACAATCTTGGGATTGTGCTGGCCTTGCAGATGGGAGGCAGGCAGATGGGACGCAGTTATGTAGTAAATTGAATGGAAGACAGTAATTCTTCATTACAAATTTAGTTGCTTCTGTCAGTTTAAATCACAACTTGCAGTGCACGTTCCCAGCAGCTCATCAGGGGCACAGTGAGGGAGCACAGCTCACCCTGAGAGGAATTCCTGGTTATACTCTGACCTCCCTGTGGGCAGTTCCTGACCTGGGTGATGGTTCTACACAGACAGTATTGCTGAGCCATGTGGTGGTACCGCTCAGAATATTATTTCATTAACTCACCATCCACAAAAGAACGCCAGCTCAGGGAAATACATTCAGCAACCTGGAATAGTGGTGAGAAAACAGTACCAGGCACTGTGTGCATCACCAGAAGTGACACCGTCTCAGTATATTTCTGCATCTTTACCTTGGCTCATTAATTGTCTGCACTCTTATTTCTTCCTAGAGCAACAGGAGGGTCTCAGCTGCAGCAGGAGAACCTCAGGACAGCAAATACAACAGCTCTGACTTTCAATGATTTTACTGCAGCTCCTCTAAAAATTATTTTTAGACTTATTCAGCCTTCTGAAGAGTGGTTAAATGGGCACTTACTGCCTTGTGCATAGACTGGAAAATATCCACTGTACAGAGACCATTTGATTCTTTCACCACACTGTTAGATATGGACACGGCCACTGCAATGGAAAAATTGTCATGGAGATGAGGAGGAAGAAGATGGCAGTAAAACTATGGCAAGTGACCTGGAAGAACCCAAGGGAAATTTGCCTCTTCCTTTGCATGCATTGGATCCCTGTCCTCTCCTCTCACTGTGTTTTCAGTGAGTATATCTACACACCCATGCTGACACAAGCTTAGATGAGGTGCGATTCTACTGAGCCCAGTTTCCCAATTTCTGAGCCCTGCAAGTCACCTCAATGTCCAAAAGCTTCACAGAAGGGGGGGTAACCCTAGATACAGGCACTGGTCAATCCCTCCTGACTAAACAGGAATACTTAAATTCCTGCTGGACCATGGTCCAAGATAGCAACTAGGCCTAGGGAAGCTCAGCTGTGAGCTACGCAGCAGCACAACATTTTTACTACTTTGAGGTCAAACATCTTGTGTAAATAAATTGTTCAGAAGCCATAAACAGGGGTAAATGCAACCACTGTGATGTGTGAAGTCATATGAGACCACAGACATCTGTCTATAGAAACTCAGCATGAAGTAGTTTCTTTTCTTCTCTACCCCTAATGAAATTCAAGCATTTAGAGGACTGTCTCACACATCCATTTGCTGAAACGTATCTGCTAAATCCAAGCTTCTAATACAGCTTTGCCAGGTTCTTCTCCAAATTCTTCAACCACCATCACCAAAAACTCAACTCTCCCTCTCTTAGTTCCATTTTCCAGGATGGTGTTAAAGACATTGATTTCCCTAGCCTGTTTTATGCTAAATTTAGCTAACAAGAATGCAGCTATGACAGATTTGAGATATCTTGGGTTACAATAGTTTAATGCCTCAATTACTTCTTTGTCTGACCAGTTCCATATACACTAAAACTGTCAGGTTCACTATGGAGACATAAGCAAAAGCTCTGCCAAAAATGTGACAGATTGATTATTTACACATTCATAGAAATGCCTTGTCATGAGACCTCAGTTTGAAGATCTCAGACCTTGACTCTGAGCCCAGAGGGATCTCCTGTTGGCTTTACTTCTCAACAAAACAAATACAAACGCTCCACATTCATAGAAACAGCTCTATCTCAATAAATTCAGGTTTGCTTTAGCTGAACTGTGCTATGACTTCCAAATGGCAACTGCGAGGTGTCCCTGCACTAAGCAGATGGAAGAGAACACTCCCTGTTTCAGTGAGAACTCCCCCCCAGCGACCTGCCCTTACAGGTGTGTTCTCCTCACCTGTGATCTCCAGGAATCTGGTAAGCTTAACATAGGCATGGTCAGCACCTGGGGGCAAGACTGGGAGACAAATTCAGTTTGCAGTGATAGTTAAAGCTGGAAATCTGGTCTGCAGGGGTGTCTGGAATTCTTGCACAGAACAGCTGGCTGGTGCCTCATGGGGCATCATCGAGATCTCGACTCCACGAGTGGCTGTGTGGGACTATGCACTGTCAGGAAACCAAGTCTCTGCTGGTCTGTGATCCAACAAAAACTCTGTCCCTTTGGAGGCAAGCACAATTTGGCACTGAAACAGAAGGATAACACTATTTACCAAATCACAACAGTAACATCCTGGGTTTTCTTTCTCAGCTTCTGAACCAGACTGAAATATGCTTTGTTTGCAAGAGCTGGTGAATTTGTGGCTCCAGATGTGAGCAATGAGCTGCTGCTGGATCTGGAAAGTAAACTTGCACTAGGAAATGCTTATTTTTGGACATTGCAACAAGGAGACGTGTATTTGGTGTGAATTTACATTATGATCAAACTGAAGGATTACCCAGGGGATCAGAGCTGAACTCACATCAACAGCAGGTTTCCCACTGACTCAGACAGAATGCCAGTGATTGTTTAGTAATGGTGTACAGCAAAACCATACTGAGTTGGTGTGTTCAGATTTTAAACTGCCTACCTTACCCTGCTCTCTGAACACCTTTAAACTGCACCTGATTTCCAGGCTGTTTGTCCTCCTGTTTAAATTAAGAAAAGCCCTTTTTAAGATGATAGTCAAAGATAAAACTATTTACCAGCAATCTTTGAGGACCTGTAAGTGTTTACAACAGCAGCAAACTGAAGGCAAATCTCTCAAGTCTTTGACAGGCAACCAACCACCACCTTATTTTTTACCATTATATTCAAAACCTTGTAGAACCAAGCAGTCACATTCATTTTGGTTTCTGGATTCTCACATATGAACGAAGGGTTTTTTTGACATCTTTTATTTGAAAAGTGTGATAAAACCCAATTTAAAATGTATTTACTTTTAGATTCAGCAACAAAGATTATATGCCATTTTTTTCCAAGTTTGCTGACAATAAAAGGGAGCAGACATATAGTTTCACAAAAGAAAATTTAGTCCAAATCAAATAACTCAAGCAGAAAAATAATTTATGAGCCTATCCTCCCCTAATGAGAAAAGAAAAAGATGGAAGCACACATTTTTGGCAGCATAGCAACATTAGCTGGAGAACATTAAATAATTAGTTGGCAGTGGTGAGCCTTTGATTCAACTTCTTTACCGTGAATGAGTTTTGCATTGCAAAGCAGATTTGTAAAATTTAACAATGTTTTCCCATTATAAATTTTTTTCTTGTGTTAAGTATCTCAAAATTAGCTGGGCCTGCTGGACTTTGACACTGCTGCACACTGGCAAAAAAAGAAGGGGAGATGTTCAAAGACACAGATGGAATTAAACATCCAGCTCCTGACTTTCAGGATGACTTTCAATGGGAACCAAGTATTTAACTACTATTTATGTAGGAAAAAGAAAATTTAACATTCAAAGCACAGCTAAGAGATACAGGTGTGTCCTAGTGACTGGACAATTGAAACACAGGTACTCCAAACCCCTCCTCAGCTCTTGCTTTGGCATTATGTTTTCATTTCAGAACCATTTGGTTTTTGTGGGGTGACTTCAAAAAGCCAGCTTTTCATTTTACATTATGGTGATAGTTCTGCACATTTTGACATAAGAAAGCAAAAATCTTTCCAAACGTTCTATTATTAAAAATCCTTACAAGTAATACAGCTGATCCCACAGCTTCACTGAGGTTTATGAAGAAAGCCAGCCTTCCAACCAAGATTTGGAACCAAGCCTATAAATAGTCTAAGTACTTATTAATTCAGTTTCTCCCCCTCTCCCTCCCTGGAAGTCCAGCCCATGAAGCTGCCAACTTGTCCTTCTCCAGATGTCTTTCAAATATTTCTGATTACTTCTCAATCTCAGATACCTCAACCACACTCCAGTTCATCTTCCTGCATAGGACTTGTCCTTAAAACAGTGTCTGACCTAAAGGATCAGTGTGCTGAGAGCTGATAACAATGCATTGCTTCAGACAAAAGCCAGCCCTGTTCTGAAGTGTTCTGTGCTGAGAAAGCAAAGATTATTTCCAATATCCCAACTTATAACAGACCACGAAGCAAGTCTTGGTTACATCAAAATATCCCTCTGTCTTTGTTTCAGAAGAGGGGCAAAAATGCCAAAGGTTTTCATCTGCAAAGTCTCAACTAAATTATGAAAACCAAAAATCCTTGCTGAAAGCAGCCCAGCACTGTCACAGAACCTGCCCTTTCTTTGGGTTTTGTACTCTTTCAAGGATAAACTAACTTCATACCATGAAGAGAATAAACTCAAAGCATGAGTATGATGAAAATATTCACAAACTGATAAACAAATGATTTACCTCAGTTTTACAGGATTCCCCAAGTCCCAAAATAACACAAAAAAAATTCCAATAATAAAACAGAACATTAACTATGATTTGGCTTGTTTAAGTCTATCATTTGACTGCTAGGCATCTGTAATATTTTTCCCACTGCTCTTGAGAGTTTAATGTCTTCACTTACTCAAGATAGGAGAAACGAAAGTTACTTCGAGCACACCACTTGGAGATTTCAGAGATCATCACAGGATTTCTGCATCCTTTATGCTTATTCTACTACTACAACTTGATCAAAGGCAGCGTGTCCTCCCTAATAAAATGTTAAAAAGGGCTCAAGAACAGGCAACTGCAGTACCTCCACATTGGGTTTCTTTCTCTTGTCAGTGTTAGAACTTAGGGCTGGGTGCAAGTGCCTTATGTGAGGGCACAAGATAACAGCCTGAGGGCAGAAGCAGCTGGCATGAATTAAGTTACACTTAGGCAGCTCTAATTTAAAAGGCTCTTTGAACCCAAGATGTATAACCTCTTTTGAATGAAACAAACTCATCTAGGTGAGTCCAGGAAACCAGTCTAAGTTTAGAAACAGAGGTACAAATGTCCACAGAAGGCCTTTCTGAAATCAGCAGAAATCTATTCCTGTCAAAGGGAAAAGTAAGAGACAGATTTTTGTGGTTCACTGAAATACCTGTAAATCTATCTCTCTTCAGCATTGAGAGTAGGGCAAATAAAGACAGAGTGTGCATCTTGGTTTGGTTTTGTCTTTGTTTTTGTTTTGTTTGTTTGTTTTTTGTTTTGGAGTGTTGTTTGTTTGTTTGTTTGTTTAAATAAGAATCAGTAATTTAACCATCTGTAGGAAGAGCTTTCTTCCACCCTCAAAACTCTTTCTGTTGGCATTAGGCTCAACCAATGGAGTGCAGACACCTGTTTTATGAATTACATAGTTCCCAGCAGGAAAAAATGAGAAAGGGAAAACATTCTCAGAAAAAAAAAAAAAAAAAAAAAAAAAAAAAAAAAAAAAAAAAAAAAAAAAAAAAAAAAACAGCAAGGGAGGATAAAAAACTAGCTTTTTCAGTAACAGTGGTGAAATTTGTAATAAAGACCAGCTGCCACTGAATTATTTTGTTATCCAACAGATCAATTGAACCCATCTTGCGTTACACACACACTGTTATTTATACCCATTGCCTGTCAGTACAGTGCTCATTTCTACAGAGAGGGCACAGTGATTTACCAGGCAGGCTGCTGCCTGGCACAGCCAGGAATGGGAGTGCTCACTCTCTTGGGACTTTTAAACAACCCACCCCCTGAAGTACTTTGTAGCCTGGGAGGTCAGACAGACACAATGCAATAACATCAGAGCAGTTCTCCCAGCGTCACAGGAGCAGCTGTGTGTGTGCAGCAGTGAGGAGGGAGAGCTAAAAACCACTGGGGTGTTTTTTTCAGGGTAGGCTTTTACTGTGCTACTGAAAGAGCCAAGGTGATAACTGTGCAGGGGTAGGCTTGGCATGATGGCAACGAATGAGTAAAGTTTGCTTAGGCAAGTCAGGACAGGAGAATCAGGCCTGTGGAAGGATGCAAACAAAAATATTACAAGGCTGTATTTCAATGGTGTTATAATTTCATGTATAACCAAGAGGAAATGTAGTGTCTGTACAGCAACAGAAAAACTTCTACCAAATGTGTCACTGCTGCAAAGCAGCAATTTGGACTGAAGATACAGCAAAAACAATCCAAGAGAGTCAGTCTGAGCTAATTGCTGTGATGCACAAAAGCTTAGCCAGCTGTGTTATTTGTTAACTACAGGATGCAAGAGCTGACTGATCATTCAGATTGTTTGCACAAATATGACGAACTATTTTAAAATAAAAATAAAAAAAGACAGCGTTACTACTACGCAAATCCAAGAACAAGGCAACCCGGTCCCTTTTCCATCTGCAAGATATTTCCCCATGCCACTCAAAAGCAAAAGGAAGCCAGTAGAGAAAGGGAAATCAAACTGTCTCCAATACAAAGTACCTATGACACGAGTGACTCTTTAGAGGGTTGTCAGCACTTAAAGTCACCAGTTATATCAATTTATATGGACTCTTGCTGGGACAGTAAATTAGAGCGGTTTCAACACAAGAAAGCCAGGTTTTGAGGCAACCTCCCAGTAGAACAAGTAACCTAATTAGTTTGAAGATGAAGCCTGGTAGATTTATGAATGGTATAGGCCACAAGTTCCCACAGCAAGGACCTGGATTTAATCACAAAAGAATCCCTGATTGGTCCTGCATTTCTAAGCACATGGGGACTAATTTCTGATGTGCCTGCAGGTGCCGTGGTTGCTCCTCAGCCCTTCCACAGCAGTCACAGAGCAGTTATAACACAGGTTTACACCAGGAGAGTGGCAAGCCCCTTCTGGAGTGCTGGGCAAGGATATTTCCGTACTGAACAAATTGCTTACCTTTCCAATGCTCTCTTTTAACATTTTCACAAGTAGTCTGCTGTCACCATTCCCAGGCCCCTTTTAAACTATAAAAGGTCTGCAAATCACAGTTTCTCACTAGTAATACTACACCTATACATTAAGGTTCCAGTACAACAAGGTGTTAGGCACTTTCACCTCATAAGCAACTTCACTGACTTACTGGAATTTACCAGATTTATTAACAATTCTCCTTAATATCGACCTGCATACAAACCATCAACAATAAAACTTCACTAAGTGTGTGACAAAAAACCTGCAAATTCTTCTCTTCTGTACTTATATCAAGGTTCTTACTGGGGACTTTCTGTTTCAAGTCACAAAGCCACTTCCAAATATTTATCAGTCACATGTAAAAAAAAGAAAAAGGCACTAGCATCTTTATACACTGATATATTCAAGCTCTGTCTAGGCTATCCAAGGCCTGGGGCTTGGCTTTGTTGCTTTTTGTTAGAATTCCCAGTCTGAATCCTGCTAGTGTATTGACTATGTTAAACAACTTCATCTCTTTCTGGTGTCTTATGACCTTATCTCTGGAGGGCAGGGACACATCAGACAGATAGCTCTGCACATTGATTCAGTGGGAAGTACAGTAGATTACTTGATTTGTTAATTCTAAAACTTCCTGTTAAGTGCCAAATACTTCTTAAGTAGTGCAGGTCAAGATTTTCTGATTATGTCAACCTAATTAGTAATCAGAAGCTACTAACACAGAATGAACCCTCAATCATAATAAGCTCAGCTATCTGCTACAATACAACCCTAAGAACTTCAGCTTAGTAACTTATATGTACATCTCTTTACACAGTTTACTGTTGGTGATCCCACCTTGTTGCATATAATTTTGACTGTAAGTTATTACCGTTGTCTTCAACCTTCAAAGTGCTTTCTTAGGCAGTATTTGGCTTTTCATCGTGTTACAGACCTTCTGTTCACATTATGAGATAGCTGATTGCCTGTAAACAAGGAAATAATCAACATAAATTAATCTTTTAGGCATTCATGTAATTTTACCTTCATTAATTCCATCTGACTTCCCACTAACCTGGAAAGGTTTAAATGGGGGTCCACAGAGGGGTGAAAATGCTGCTTAGAGAACAATGACTGGAATTACTTTAGCTGGTATGCAATTCCCATAACAACACACCCCTGATCCTGCACTGAAATTCTTATGACTAGAAAAACAGTGGGGAAACCATGTTACTGCATAAAAAAAGCGCTGCTTTTGATAGAAGTGGCTAAAGTTTCATCATGAAAGGACGTATTTGCACCTGGAAAAATTCACCACTTTGCCCAGAGGGAGAAGTACAGTCATTTACACCCTGAGGAGGAGCGCTGGTTGGCAGAAAGAGCAAACTGTACACTTGATCAAGTTTTCACATAGTTGCAAAACTATCAGCTTTCATATTAAGTGAAAATTAGTAGTTTTCTCCAGCTCTGTTTTCAATATTCTCCATCACCATCAGTCCAGGGTCCAGAAATCCCAAGGTCAAGAATGAGCCCCCAGTTTCAGAGTCAAAAGTTCAGAATGACCTTTTACAAAAATAGGCACCTTTTCACTGGTCCCTCTAGGTCTCCTGGAGTTACACTGCTGTTTCACCAGGAACCACTTGGTAACACCTCAAATTAACAGGCTAAACTACAGCTCTGTTAAATAAAATCAGATATTTCAGGGGAAATGCTTTTCTTCCCACTAGCACTCCTAAATCTTCAAAAACTAAACCAAGAGGAAGCTTAATCAGGAATTAGTTTGACTACACCCCTTTTCTGACTTAGTTTACAGAAAATTAACTTGCATCTACTAGTAGTAGCCTAAAATAGCCTGTATTAATTAGGGCCTCCTTAGAAGGCAGCTGACATTCCAAAGGTGCACATCTGTGACCTGGGCACAGAACACACAGAATTTTTTGGGTTGTAAGAGACCTTTAAGATCAGCCAGTTCCCATCTCCTTGCCATCTAGTGGGCAGGGACATTGCCCACTCGACCAGGTTATTAATGATTAACACTCTTCAGTGTTAGGATAATATTCATCACAATCCAAATTCCTTCAACACAATTCCACAAGAGACTGCAGCTGACATAGTGAGGTTTTAAGTCATCGCATAATTGTGGCACCTCATCAGTCCTTTCTGTAGAAACACAGCATCTCTAAACCTACTTAGGCATAATAAGCCATTTTGAGAACACTTCTGCTAGATTATTCCCTCCTGTGGGGTGAGAATTCATTTTTCCTTATGCAAACCTCTGCTGACTAATACCTCAGATTTTTTCCTTTGTCTCTGCCTTATTTTCAGCTAAGAGAATGAATGAGCTGGGTTAAGCATGAAAATCAGTAACTGTAGTGGAAGGTGCCCCTGTCCACAGCAGGGGGGTTGGAACTAGATAAATTTAAGGCTCTTTCCAATCTAAACTATTTTCTAATTCTCTTTTATATAGCCCACCTATTATTTTTCAGGGTGACTCTGCTGACATTCTGCTCTTACCCTCCCTTTAGCAGAGACTACCAGGCTTCTTGCTCAGTCCCAAGAATGCTGTTTAGTCTGTCAGCTCAGGATGTTTGTAGATGTTACTGTTAGATTTTATTTTTTTTTTGCAATGCTGACTTCAGTTTTCTTGTAGAAAACAGATGTACCTAGTGAGCTAATCCTGCCTTCTCCATCCATCACTGCTTTTAACATCAGAAATCTACAACTCAAAAGAAAAACTGTATCACACAAAAGGAAATAAACATCTAGTAAATAGATGCAAAGTCAAAGCAGGAGGAGATCTAAGCAGTTTTTTTCCTTGTTAACAATTTAAACTCAGCCCTTCTCCATCTTACTTTTATGACTGGATGAGCAAAGAGGGGCGACACCAAGTGCATGAAGAGGCCTAGGAATTGCTGCAGCTTTATCCCATCTCCCTTCAAAGCTGCATTTGGACATGAGGCTGAGGAGTACACCAGCTACAGGAAAATTCCTTTGCTTGTTTTCCAGAATATGCAAACTAGACAGACTGGATATAATCAAGTAAGGTGTGTGTAGTATGTAACTGAGTACAGATTACAATTCAGAGCCTTATTCATCCCATGGAGTTAAAG